TTGCAACAGATGGGGCGAAGTGCACGCGCGCGCGTCGTCGCGCGCGCATGCCGAAATCCTTCAAAAACCTTCGGCGCCGGAAGGATGTCGCAATCGAGCTTCCGGAAAAAAAAATCATGTTTGCCTTAAGATTTCGCAAGAGCTCGCGCGGAAGTTCTTTTTAGCAAACCAGCGTTGCGAAACCATAAAAAAAATCCCAACATGTTACCAAACGGGCTTCGCGCGCGCGCATGTCGAAATCTGTCGAACGCCCTTGCGCGCGTGCCGTCGCGAGAACCCTCTGCAAAAAAAGAGGGCAAAGTGCAGGCGCGCGCGTCGTCGCGGACGCATGCCGAAAACCTTCGAAACCCATCGGTTTCGGAAGGATTTCAAAATCGCGCGTCCAAAAAACCTACAATGGCCCAAGGTATCGCAACACGGATTTTCAACAAAAGCGTGCGCGCGCGCTCTTGCGCCGTCGTCGTCGTCATCGTCGCCGTCCTCCCTCCTCCCGCGTCGTCGTCGTCGTCGCCTACGTCGTCCTCTGTCTTTTCTCCTGATTGTCGTTGTCGTCCTCTTTGGCGTCGTGGTCATTTCCATCGTCGTTGTCGCCGTGGTCGTCCTTCCTCCTCCTCCCGCGTCGTCGTCGTCGTCCGTCGTCGGCGTCTCATCGTTGCCCCTCCTATGTCGTCGCCGTCGTCGTCGTCGTTGTCGTCGTCGTCTTCCCTCCTCCCTCGTCGTTGTCGTCGTCGGCGTCGCCGTCCTTCCTCCTTCGTCGTCGTTCGCGTCGTCGCCGTCCTCCCTCCTCCTTCGTCGTTGTCGTCGCTGTCGCCGTCGTCGTCCTTCCTCCTTCCTCCTTCCTCGTCGTCGCCTTCGTTGGCGTCGTCGTCGTCGTCTTCGTCGTCGTCGGCGTCGTTGTCGTCGTCGAAGTCGTCGTCGGTGTCGTCCTAGTCGTTGTCGTCGGTGTCGTCGTTGTCGGTCTTAACAGGTTTTGCAAACCAAGTTGCGGGTGGGTGGGTGGGATGTTTGCGCGAGCAGTGGAGAAGACAACTTCAAGTTCAGCAAATTAGTTGCAATCGTAGAGTCGATCTCGCGCGCACCTGCGTCCTCACGCGGCGCTGCGTCGGGCGACGCCCTGTGACCCAGACCCACGACGTCGTGATTTGTTCACAGCGTCGACCCCCAGAGGTCTGTTTGACGCCCCCGAGGCCCAGTGAGAGCCCCCAGAGGCCGAACATCGCGACAAACATCCCGTCGCGATTTTTTCGCGACGCCAAGGGGTCTGGGGAAGCGGGAGGACGGCCACTCGCGCCTCGACGAACAGCAGGAGGAGGTGGAGGAGGATGCAGGGGGGGCCCTTTCCAAAACGCACGGTCGCAAGCGATGCCCTTGGTCTGATCTCGCAGGGCGTCCCCGGGCACGCGGCGCTGCATCGGGCGAGCGATGCGGGGGGCGAAGCGGGGGGATGGAATAGGAGGGTGGGTCGTCATTTCCTCGAAGAATTGCGGCATGCGTTGGCCGCGCGACGGCGCACGTCCCCGCGCCAGGCCCTCGCCTGCGCGGATCGAGCCAGATCGAGGGGGGAGGGGGGCGAGAAAAAAAACACCATCGGCCGGCGCGGCGCGGGCGGCCCTTCTGCGTTGAAGCAGCGGCCAGCTTCGCGCGCAAATTCTCCGAGAAGGGAAAGGAAATGAAATTATGATAGGAACGCGCGCAGGGGTGGAGGCGTAGATGTGGAGGTTGGTGGGGCGAGGGTGGCGCTTCCAATCGAAGCGTGGGCAAGGAGGGAGAGAGGCGGCCTGGGGGCCCGCAGCTCGCTCCGAGCAGCGCCGTGCTAGCGGCGGCTGATATTATTCAGCCTGCGATCGCTCGAATTCGGAATGGGATGGAGAGTGCGTGCGTGAGTGTGCGCGTTGTGCGTGCACACGCGCGTGCGCGTGTGCGTGTGCGTGCGTGTGTGTGCGCGCGTGCGTGCGCGCGCGCGCGTGCGTGCACGCGCGTTTGGGCGCGCGCGTGATGGGGGGGGGGGGGGGGGGGGGGGGGGCAGAGGGAGGGTGGGTGGGGGCGTGGTGTGTGGGGGGGGGAGAAACAAAGTGTAGAAATGCGTATCTCCGACATCCTGCTGCTCGATCCGCTTGCAAGATCGCCGCTTGGAAGATCGATGTTGGAAGAGATTGTGTGTGTATGTGTGCGTGTGCGTGTGCGTGTGCGTGTGTGTGTGTGTGTGAGTGAGTGAGTGAGTGAGTGTGTGTGTGTTGTGTGTGTGTGTTGTGTTGTGTTGTGTTGTGTTGTGTTGTGTTGTGTTGTGTTGTGTTGTGTTGTGTTGTGTTGTGTTGTGTTGTGTTGTGTGTGTGTGTGTGCGCGCGTTTGTTTGCGCGTGCGTGCGCTGTGCGTGCGCGAAGGCGGGGCTAGAGTCAGCGCCGCCGCCCTCCCGCTCAAAGGAAGCTCGCCGTGATCGTCGGCGCCTCGCGAGGAGCAAGGCCGAAAAGGTGGGTCGGGGGGGGGGAAGGAGAAATCGACGCCTTGGGTGCCCTTCGCGCGCTGGACACCAGCATGCGGAAAATATACGCGAGCATGTGGGTCACCAGCGTGCCGAGGTCCGCATCCCGCCACGAGTCGATCACCAGCACCAGACACCCATGTACACCAGCGCGTGGTGTCGATCCCGTTCAAGAGGGAAGGTGGCAAAACAGCACTCGGTTTTGCGAGTTCTCCGTCGGGAAGGGAGTTTTCGCAAAACGATTAGACTGCAAAGCGTATTCTCGTGTGTTTGCTGATCTTCCTCCTGCAATAATGTCATGCTCAAGCTCACGCGACTATTCGGTGATGTACTTCTCCCCGCCATTGCTTGAATTAGTGCGCCGTTAAACGTAGCTCGGGCTAAAATAAACATGTGGGACCCGGCCGACCAGGGGAGGGCGCCCGGAGGGCGCGCGGGCGGCGGGGCGGGGCACTCTTTTTGCCGGTGCAGCCGAAATCGATTCAGTTTCGGCGGGCATCGACGTCATGCAGCGTCGTGGCGGCGATGCGACGGCAACGCAGGGGCGATGACTAAATCAACTGTTCCAAGGAATGTCCCGAGACAAACAGCGAGGATTCCGAAATGGCTCCAAATTGGTCCCTGAGCCTCGCCAAAGGATGTTTTCACCATTGTTGGCCTTTTGGTTCACTACACGAGGCTGCCTGGGGCGTAATTGTTGGCCCCTTGATCCACTACATGTATACCCACGCCACTCCCCAGGCAACTCTACTGAGCAGTGTTTCCGAAGGGATGGTGGTAGCAGGCAAAGCGCTTCAATAATATCGCAATGCACGTCAGATCGGGCTGCATCGGCGCGGAGTCGAAATCGAGTCGGATCAGCTGCGCCAGGATGCACAACAGCGCCATGCAAGCGTGGTGCCGCACCGGATCGCCAGAATATCGGAACCATCTGCCCAGAACCATGATCGCATCAGATCCATCGGATCGAATGGGGCTGTGATTCGACGCGGGGATGCATCCACAGTCTGTGGGATCGATCTCCGGGGGCCTCGGCAAGCGGCGGATCTGCCCCCAGGGGTCCCAGGACATCGGTGCCCCAGGCGGTGGCTATGGATGGATCCCCGCCTCGCACACAAGGAGGATGAGGACCGAACTCTTCTTTGATCGTCGAATGGGACTGTGTGTCGAGAAGAACTCTCCACTGGATCGGTGTACTAGCACTATGATATTACTCTGTCGGCTATGCAGGCTGGTGCGCGCAAGCGATGCCGCTACACATACGTGGCGCAGGCAGGCTGCAGCCGAGGACGAAAAGACTGGGGCTGTCGCGAAGTTTGGCCGGCCGCTCAGTAGCTCCCAAACCTGGGCTCGCGGAGGGCATACAAGAGAGAATCGGCCCCACGTGGCGGCCCATACCCGGGTCAGAGAGAGAAGATTGGCTGACCCCCGTCAGCGTTGACCCCCGTTGCGTGCGTGGGCAAAAAACGTATCCGTATCCGCGGCCTCGCGGGCCGGGGCCCCTGGGCCGCGGCCCCGCGGATACCGGGCGTTTGTTCGAGGATGCCCCGCGCGGAACGCATCCATGCGACCGCATCCGTGCGACCCTGTATCTGCGGGATCGCGACCCAGAACCCAGACCGCAAGGGCGCGGATACGGATATGCTCGCCGCACGTGAACAAGGATCCCCCACTTTGCCTATCCCTCCCCCTCCTGTTGTCTCTTATGGGGGGAGGACGACAGAGGACTACAACGACCCCTCCAAGAGCCGATCAGCCGATCAGGTGCAGACCAACCGATCAGCGGATCAGCCGATCAATCAGATTGGCTGATCGGCTGATCGGCTGGTCGGCGTCTCATCGGCTTATCGGCCGAATAGAACGGCCCACCCGGGCTGGCATCGCAATGGACAGTGGACACAGCAGGGTTGCTCATATAAGGGACGCTAATTAAAGAACGAAGCCATCGTCTTGGCGCCAGGATGCACGAGGAGGACCAGAGGAACAGCCGCGGAATGATTCAAGGAGCAGCGTGCCCCTTCCGAACCCAAAGCGGTCCTTATTTCAGCATGTTGACTGTATGTTCGCCGCGCGCGAGCGAGGACGACGACGACCTTCGTTGTGCCGGGACAGATGGGACACGAGCAGAGGGGGTCGGAAATTCGCGCCGCCTCGCCGATGCATCGGCGATGCGGCTCGATGTGTAGTCTGGTCTTCCCCCCGCCGACGGCACCGATGCATCGGCGACGTCAGTGGGTCCGCAGAGCCCTTTCAGAAGAGCCCTTTCGGGGGCCGAGGCCTCTCGGAAGGGGCCGAGCAGCCCACTTGGAGGCTCTCCCCCGAGGGGCTCTCCCGAAAAATCCTCTTAATCAGTTGCGGCCGCCGTGCGTCGTTGAGCCCAGATCCCCATTGGCGCTTAACTTCGCGCTCTCGCGCCGCCCCCCAGGGGAGAAGAGGACGAGGAGGAATCGGAGCCGAAGCGCGAAGCGCGAGTAGCTCCGCGTCCTCGAGGGCGCCCTTGGATCCCAGAGGGGGCCGAGGCCTGATGGATGAAGCTGTGCTCGCGGTTCGACGTCGAGGAGCGCAGGCCCGCCGCCTGGCAACCCGCCGCCCGGGCGCGGCGCGCCCGCCAGGGCCGGGCCCACCTCGGGGGCGGGGCAGGCTTAGAGGGCACCAGATGCTCGCCGAGGCCAGACACCTTCGGCGGCGAGCGAGGGGGGGGAGTGAGAAGGAGGATGCCTCCTCAGAAGGCGGCGGGGCTTCTCCGAAGGCCCCTGACCTTCTGAGAGAGGTTTTCTGTGTCTTCGGAGAAGGCTTAGGAAGCTTCTCAGAAAGCCTGGGGACTTTCGACCCTTCTGAGAAGGCCCGCCCCTTCTCACTTCCCCGCTCGCCGCCGATCTGAGGGCAGACACCTTTTTCTGCAATGATCGAACTAAACAATGTTTTTCTCTATCATTATGCTGTCGTTTTCCCTCGGTTTGTCTTCCGTCCGCCATTGTTGCAAAACAGAGTTGGGACGAAAACGGCCAACGAAATTGCCAAGGAACTGTTCAGGTCGGCCCCTGCCTTGTTCTGAAGAGGATTTGACAAACCTACCAGACCAGCCCAACCTAACCCCAAAACCCAAGTTTCGGATTTGGGGGGTACGGGTCTCAAACATGTTTTTCAGTGTTCCCCGACGCTGGAGGGCAAATTGGGCCTTCGGGTTGGGTTGGGGTGGTTCGATGGGCGGGGAGGATTGAGGGGAAGAAGCAATGACATAAACATAACAACTCGGAGACTCGGAGGTCAGCGCGGATTCCTCGGATGGGCGCTGGGGCCCCCTGGCGGCGCCTCCGGCGACGCCCCTGGCGCGCTCCGCGGGCCAGGGAGGGGGGGCCAACGCCGATCCAAGAAATCCGCGCGGACCTTTGAGTTTTTGAGTTGTTATGTTCATGTCGGTGAGTGAGTGGGTGAGAAAGCACATGGCGGCTGCGAGGGAAAACCGCCATGCCTTCGGAGAGGGAAGCTGCACTGGGCGATCAGAGCAGCGGAGGCCGTAGGGCCAATGCCACACCACCAAGGCTGCAGGCCCAGAAGCAATGCAGACGTATGCTCACTGAGGGCAGACACTTTTTCTTTGCGGGGAGGAAGAGGAGGAGGAGGAGGAGGAGGAAGAGGAGGAGGAGGAGGAGGAGGAGGAGGAGGAGGAGGAGGAGGAGGAGGGAGCACGACCACAGAGCTTCACCTGCCTTGGCCTCGACCGCTGTGCGAATCCAAAGGTCGCTGGGCAAACCGCGAGCACCACACGAGCCGACCTGTGAGAGGCAAGCTCGTGCACTGAGCCGTGGCCTGAGAAGGAAACGAGCAGGCCGCATGTGAGAGCAGAGGAAGAAGCGAGGCACGAGGGCCCGAAACGAGGAGAAGGCTGGTACGAAAATGCCCCAGAACCGTATCATATAGGTAGCCACTGGGGGCAGCAACGCTCGCTGACGGGGGAGGAGAGGAGGCGCTTCTGGAGCCTGAAGATCGGAAGTTGCCAGACGTGGCCCTGACCTGAGGTGCCCTCAGCTTCTTGCGCCACTTCTGGAGCCTCTGGGCCTCCCTGTAAAAAGTGTGGCCTCCGCAAGCGAAGGCCACCCCTGGGCGAGGGCCGCCTGTGGCAACGCCCGAGGGGCCTCGGGGAAACGGAAAACTCGGGTTTGGCGGGGGCTCGGGCTGGCACGACGGGGCCGTCCTCGGCGGCGCGCAGAGGGGGTAGGGGGAGGGGGGACGGCTTCTCAGGAGGCTGCTTCTTGGAAGGCACTGGCCCTACAGCTATATAGACAAGGCCCGCGCCTTCCAAGAAGCAGGGCCGGGGTGCTTCTAAGAAGCCTTCCCCTCTCCCCCTACCCCTCTCTGCGCGTGGCCGAGGTGGGGGGGGCTCGGGCTGGCACGGTGGGGCCGTGAAAATGACGAGACCCAATCTGAAACTTCCCGCTGCAGACATCCCACGAAAAGCTGGGCAGTCTGAATTTTGCACGGGCCCGCCAGAAACAATCGGCAAATATGGGTCCTGGCGAACTCGAGTCATGCGTTTCCCTGGTCTTTGAAGGCGAGCATCCTGACCGAAGACAAGCAGCAAACTCACCGAAGCCTCGCAACCCCACCCGAAACAAAAAACAAGAAACCTTCAGTCTTCAGAGCTGCTTGCCCTCAAATCGGTCTGTCTGTCGTCAGCAGCCGCGGCACGGGGACTGATAGATTCGAAACCCTCGCCGAGAGTTTATCCTGACGTGATTTGATAGCGATCCTCGCTTCAAGCTGCCACTGTGCTATCTGATCGTTTCTCCGGAGAATGCGTCCCACAATGTGCGGGGGCAGCTGAAAGGCGCCGCACGCACCCCGAGGTCGGCCTGCCGACCTCGCGCGAACACTCGCGCGGCGTGGGGGTGCGAAGCGCAATCGCTGCCACGCTCCGGCGCGGCCCATGGGCCGGAGGCTCGGAGAGGTTGGCGGAGTGGTCCTGGCCCAAGGCACCGCATCGGGAAATCGGATCGAATCGGCATGCGCGGCGGATCGGGCTGCGTCGGAGCATCGCTCAACCGATACCAATCCCAACCAGCGTGGCCTGGGCCCCAGTGGCCGATATACCACCCTAGATGGGGATACAGGCTGCTCTCTTCGTTCGAGGGGCACATCCCCGACCGGGGTGGTGGGATGGTATGGACGGGGATGGGGGTGGGGATGAGGGTCGTTTTCGTACTAAAACAAGGAAGTGGACACCGAACGTAAACATCACGTGCGCGTAGCGAACGTGGCCAACACTCTGCGAATGTGGCGAACACTCTGGCGAATGTGGCCGACACTCTGGCCGCAAGCTCGAACACAAAGAAAAGTGCCACCCTAGACATTCGTTATTAATATGACCCGTTAGGGGGAGAGGATAAGGAGGACGAGGAGGACGAGAAGGAAAAGGGGGTTGCGAACTGGCCGCGGAAGTCATGGCCCGACTGCCTGTCAGTCCGGGTGCCCACATGACCACGGCTGCGCACGCGCGGGCGGAGGGGGAATGAGGAGGGAAAACGAAAAGATGCCAACACGGGCGAACGAAGCACGAATCGGCTTGAAAAGGGATAAGGTGGCATCGGAAAGCCTACGCTTCGGACCAGGCAGAAAACTTAGAGACTCCATGAACCACCACGTAAGCTCTGAACATAACAAAAAAACATAGGAAGCACAAACACAAACAACAAACAACGCGGGTCGAAAGAGACAGCGAGGCCTCAGAGAGGTCTATCATAATAGAACGAGTAACGTTCCGGTGAGACGAAACTAAACGCCGTCAGCGCGAGAAGAACACGACGTCAGGAGGGGAGAGAGGAGCGACTAATCAAACTAGCGAGGATTCGTGAAACATTTGCACAAGATGCGAATCAAAATCGCGTGGTTTCTCGCGGCCTTCTTGAGGAGACCACGGAATGCGCCATCTGCTGGCCCGCGTGGGAAACCGTGCCTTACCGCAGCATGTGCGAGGTGAAGGGCGTATACTGCGAGTGCTTCAGAGCGCCCCTGTCCACGGCAGGGATCGCTCGATTTCCCCGAAGCCCGAGGCTGCCGGAGCCAAGCCCAACAGAGATTTCAAGCGCCTTGCCATGGGAAGGCGGCGAAGGCCCAGGAACCTAGAGCAACGCGCAAGGCATCGAGGACACGTGGCATAATGCTCCATGGTGCCCCCCCTCCGCAGCCCACGCAGCAAGGGGCAGAACCCTGAGAGCGCCGAACAACGGCCCGCCCATTCAAAGCGGCCACCCAGCTGGGACGTCGACGTGCCACCCTTCGAGCCGACCTCGGAGATGGCTGCGGGCCGCTGGGCCGAAGCGCGGGCGCAAAGCTCTGGGGGCCCGCGCCGGTCACCCCGTGCGTTCCTCCAAAAGCAATCCGCTGTCGGTGGAGCCCGCCACTGCTGCTGTCGCCGCCGTCAGCGAGAATAGGAAACAACTGTCGTGCCACGCCTGGAAATAGATGCGCCAGTCTGCTGCCTCGTTTGTCGCCGTGGCGAGTCGTCTGAGCGCGGTTGCCCTCGCATCCGCGAGGAGGCCCCCATGCCCAGTGCCGGGCATTCTCGAGGATGGCAGCGCGAGCCCGCGACGCCATCGCTTTGGGCGCGACGTCGCAGAGCTCCCGGGGGGGCCCAGCACGGAGAGGTCATTCAGCCACTCGGGCGAGATCCACCGTGCGGGGCCAACGAAGGGCGCCTCAGCGTCTTAGCCTTCAGGTATGCAAAATTCAATAGGAGCGGGTCGAGTTGCGCACAACATAAAAGAGTCGGGGCCATGCAGATGCGGTTGGCCTCGATGGCGCTGGGCACGCCGACGTGCAGGGCCCGCAACATCTCTGCCCGATCTTTAAATCTACGCAGCGCCGCCGCCAACGTACTTTGACCCCCCCTGGCCTGATGGCGGGTCCCAGATATGCGGCGTCGAGCGCAACCTCCAACGGGCCCAGCAGAGGCGGGCTCGGCCCGCTTCGATGGAGGTCGGGAAGAGGGGGTGAACGCCGCCTTGCGAAAGTTGAGCGCAAATCCAGCCACGCGCTCATAATCTGCGCAGATCCCCTCCACCACCCGCATGCCGTGCAAGGTGTTTATGCCCGCTGCGGCGACGTCGTCGGCGCTCGCCCGCGGCGCGCACTCGCAGCGTCGCGCGGAGGAACAGGGCGTCCACGGCCGCCGCGAGGGGGCGGGGGGGCAAGGGGCAACGCTGCCGAAATCCACTAAGGATAGCGATTGCGCAGTGAAAGCGCCCGCCAAGAGAGAGCGCGCCGATGTGCTCGGAGCACAGAGCCTTCGCGCAGCCGCGAATCCATGACGGCCGCCCGAGGCACTCGAAAATCTGGCGCACGAAGCCGCGCCCTATGGGCGGGGGCGCCGCCGCGGAGTCGACGAGCACGGCGCCCCCCGCGGGGCAACTGAGCGCTGCTGCGAGCGCGCTCTCGTCGATATCCACCAGATTAGCCATCGTCGAGCGGCCTTCCCGAAAGCCCATCTGCAAGGCCAGGATCCCTCGGCTAACAGAGGGTTCGGTCGCCACGCGAGTCGCCTTCGACATAAGTCTGTCATCCGTGTTCGCCGCGCTGAGAGCGCGAGTCTCGGGCGGAGCACAAAAAAACCTCGCCCGAAGGAAGATCGCCCGCAGCTGTCTTGGGCGGCAGGAAGAGCAAGCTTTCATCGTGCAACTTCGCCTCCGCGGCCGCGAGGGGGGAAGCCCCGCCCCCGCGAAAACAGCGGGGCGCCCGGCGCAGGAGATTCGCCGAGAACTTGGCGCAGCGGCGCCATGCAGGAGAAGGGGGGCCGACTGGCCCAGGGGATGTGTCATTGGAGTGTTTGACAGCCCGAATAAGATGTGCTCTGCGGAGTTGCACCCTGGCGAGTCCGGCGTTGACCATGTCTGCCAGCGGCAGCGCGCCCTCGCCGAGGCCCTCGCCCTCCTCCAGCCACTTGCTCAGGAGCTCCTCGTCGCGCCCCTTCTCTCGGAAAACCTCGGTCCAATGGCCCGCCGACGCCTTGGCCATCTCCTGCGTGTCCGCGGCGACCTCGCCGTCGTCCTTGAGAATGACGATGGGGGCGCATCCTCGCCTGGGCGCGAGGCGCGTGCTCATGCGACGATTCCTCCGCCTCGCGACCTGTGCTTTGAACGGGTCGTCGCTGCCGAGGTCGGAGCGGGGGCCTCGAGGCTCCTCGAGCGCGTGCCCCCTGGCCAATTTGACTGCGAACTGCGGTAGTCTGGGGAGCTCGCAGGCGAGGTTGCCTCTGAAGTCGCACGGGCTGCCGACGCGGCGCCTGAGGTCCGCGAAGCAAGTCAGACAAGCCGATGCCATAAAAAGTCTGGCGCCCTCAATTGCCCGCGCGAGCCTCAAGGCGGCCCCGAGCTTGTCACCGGCGGCCTGGGCTATGGTCGCGGTCGCGATGTCCTTCTCCAGGCGGTAGGCCACCCTCCGAATCGAAGTCTTGCACAGCGCAGCTGGAGCTGCTGGAAAGGGGTGGAGTCCGGCGACTCGCCTAGCGCCCCGTCGAAGTCGAGGATAAGGCGGCGGGGGGAGCCCTTGTGCTGCAGAGCGCACTGGGCAACGGGACGGTCAGGATCGCCCTTCTGGGCCGCTGCCAGACGGCAGCCCGCAAGGCTCGGCGGCGAAGAGGATCGGGCCTCCATTCTAGCGCGGCTGCGACCATACGTCGGTCGAGTTGTTCCGCGATGCCGTAGAAGTAGATCCTGTCGAGACGCGACCTCTCGGAGGCGGGGGGGCGAGCGGGGCCCCCCCCGGCAGCTCTCGAAGGCCGCGGCGCTCGGCGACCGCGGACTTTCAGCGCGCCTCCTCCCGTTCGCCGCGGCTAGGGAAACCCGATCAGCATTGTGAGAAACACGACGAAGTCCCCCCGCCCTTCGCGTTATTCGCCAGCAGCCGCCGTTAATAGGCGCGCATGGCGAGGTAGCTGGTTGCGCCCCCTCTGTGCCGCTGGGAATTGCCTGCCCGATCCATGCCCGCCACGGCTGCGCGGATTCTGGACGAGAAGTAGAGGCCGCAATCAGGCCCGAAGATCCCGACGTTCCTCGAAGACAAACTTTAGCGGCGCGGCCGCGCCATGCGGTGCAGCCGCGGCGGCTGTTCGAACTGTCGGAGGAGGCAGTCCTCGACGACGAAGCCGACTCCAGCGCGGCCCGCCAATGGCCCCTGAGACCGCCAGGCAGTGCAATCCGGGGGGGGGGGGGGGGCGCCGAGCGTTGCCCGATTCCCCCCCGTGCGTCTCGGTAATTAAGGAAACGTCCGCGCGCATCACGGGGCTAGCGCAGGCGGCCTTCCGGGCATGGCGGCGCGGGTCAGCCGCATGAAGTGCCCGGGCATGCCGCGTCGCGACGGTGAGGCTGACCATGACGTGGCCGTCTCTCGAGGGGAGCGCCGTCGCGGCGACGGCGACGCCGGGGTCCGGGCAGCGCGGCCGGGGGGGCCCTGTCAGGAGGAAGAAGGCCTAGCGCCTTGCGTAAGTGGCGTTGTAGTAGCAGCTGGCACGGCAAATGCCGCCTCGAATCTGCGTTCGCCGAGGGGGGGGGGGGGGGGGGGGGCGATGTCGACGCGCGCGGGCTACAGTAGCAATGGCAAAATGGAGCGAGGGCCAGAGAGCGCAGAAAGGGGGTCGTGCCGTTCCGCGCGGGAGGAAGACTTGGGGGGGCGCGGCGGCTCGCGCGCGCGGCGAGGGGCCTCGCGCAATGCGGCGAACGATCGCGAAGAGAGGCGGGCGAAACGGACGGGCGGCACGAAGAACTGGTCCGCGCGATCTCGCCGCGCACCCGGCGAAAACTGATCGGCCCCAATGGGGGCCTCGGAGTGGACCCAAAAGACGACGCGCGCGACGTAGACCTGGGCGCTCCCGTCGCTGATGCACTGAATTCCAAAAGCCTGGCGCCGCGGCGACTCGAAGGCGGGGGCGGCACCTG